ATTCTCTTGTTTAAAGTTTGAATACACTTGTAAATTGTAATGTCTCTTAGTCTCTACGATTTGTTTAAGGCATTGGACTTTGTTCGATAGTGTCGGCTAGAGGTTAAGTTTTTAAAGAATGATGATTGGTTGGGTTTATTTCAAAAGATATTCCTTGTCCACTAATAGTACTCCCCCGCTCATAATATTATTATCCAGTTTAGATTTTCAGTTTTAATACAAATTCAAAAGATATTCCTTGAACTAAAATTGAAATAATTTTGGGACTGAAGGAGTAGATATTAGACATCCAATTGTGAATTGTTCGTCTCTATTGAGTCCCAAAACTTTTTTTAAATGAATGTATTTGGGTTGTATTTACGATTAAAAAAATGATGTCATTTTATTGATCTTTGCCTCTCGATTGAAATTAACGGATTCACCCAAGTTAAAGTTGAAAGAAAATTATAAGTCAGAAATGTAGTATGTGTCCATTCGGATTAATCATGCAAATGAAAAAGAGAAACAAAAGAACAATGGGCTAATTTAATATACTATAGGAGGTGAAATGATTAGGAGAGCAGAATTTTATAATTAGAGGATAAATAAACTTCCTAGAGAAGTGCAACAACAGATAACACGCTGTTAACAAGAAAACAAAATTAATGTTATCCGACCCCCCACCGTCTTACCATTTTTATTCATTGATGAGCAGCAAATTGGCCATAGTTGAGGGCAATTTTTTTGTGACTGACCAAATTGATGAAGTCGAGAACATAAAGTTGGTAAGTAAGTATGTGGGTTCGTATAAAATTATGAAGTACGACTAAAGGACTGATGAGTAAGTACCACTACAATATTGTTTAATTACCAAACCTAGCTCCAGCTAGCTAGCACCTGAAAAATGGTATTGAAAATGGTCCATCTAAATTCTGTTAAAACCATTAAATACAGAAAACATAATGATTAAAATAATTTGACAAGAGGAAACATTGATTCAGAAGAAGCCAATGCTCCATTTACATGAAACAGTTAAATACTTTTTTTTTAACCTCATTTTTTGGATCTTGTGTCATTATTCTGTCTTAATTATAGTGAGAGTGTTGATTTTTCGTTAGCTATGAAACCCTACCCTTGTGTTCTTGGGTATTTGACATTTTGTTGATGTTCCCTGGTTAGTCTTTCTTCTGCTTGGATGGAGGAGCTATGATACATGTAATCGCTCGTGGTAGTTAATCTAAACCAAACCTTACAAGATGAACTGGTAAAACTAGTGACAGTTTGACTCTTCGTCAGTGAAAAATTGTGCCATCACTGTCGAAAAATGAGTGTATAGATTGGATTTTAACTTTTAGTACAATTAGAATAGGGAAATTGTGTTTCATTCATTGTATCGTTATGTACAATATATAGACTATAGATAGACAATGACAAACTCTAAACAAGGACATTATAGGAAATATATTAAATATTATAATACGCCCCCGCAAACGGACGGCGGAGAAGAGAGAAGCCAAAGTTTGTCCCGGAAGCAAAAGAAGAACTCCTTGGACAAGGTTTGGTCAGAATATCAGCAAGCTGATCAGCAGCAGAGATAGAGTTGACCGAAACAAACTTTCGCCGAACATGATCTCGAACAAAGTGAAAATCAACCTCAACATGCCGGGTACGAGCATAAAACACAGGATTGACAGCAAGGAAAACTGCACTACTGTTGTCACACCAAATAGAGGGAAGGCGATGTAAAGAAACGCCTAACTCGGACGACAGATGACACACCTAATGCAGTTCAACACAGACATTAGTAACCGCACGAAACTCAGCCTCAGTAGACGAGCGAGCCACAGTGGGTTGCTTCCGAGAAGCCCAGGCAATGAGATTAGGGCCCAAATAAATGAGAAAACCAGTAGTAGAACGACGATCATCCGGACAACCAGCCCAGTCAGCATCACTAAAAGCAGTAAGAGTGCCCAAATCTGTAGGATGCAGAACTAAACAGAAATCAACGGTACCACGAAGATAGCGAAGAACTCGTTTGAGAGCCTGAAAATGAGGAGTGCGAGGCTGATGCATGAACTGACAAAGCTTATTAACCGCAAAGGAGATATCTAGACGAGTGAGAGTGGTATACTGCAGACTGCCACACAGCAGACGATAAGTAGTCGCATCATCAGGAGACAACAGAGTACCATCCAAACGGGACAACATAACATTAGCCTGCAAAGGAGTGGAAATAGGTTTGCAAGTATGCATATTCGCAAGACGTAGCAAATCAGTGACATACTTACGCTGAGAGAGGAGCAAACCCTTGGAAGTACGACGAACCTCGACCCCAAGAAAGTAACTCAACAGACCTAAATCCCGAAGAGAAAACTTCTTAGCAAGACAAGAGATGAAATGCTGGACCAAACCAGAAGTGCTGCATGTAAGAATAATGTCATCCACATAGACCAACAAAAAACACAACTGAGACCTACGACGATAACAAAGAGGGAAGGATCACAACGAGACTCCACAAAACCCAAGGTGATCAGAAACGCAGCCAGCCGAGAATACCAGGCCGAGGAGCTTGCTTAAGACCATATAAGGACTTATGCAGTTTACACACATAATGAGGGCGTGCCGGATTAACAAAACCCTGTGGCTGAACCATATACACAGTCTCACTCAAAACCCCTCCTATTTTTTACACTACTAGTCTATATTATACTTTTTTCCACTTTTCTAAATAACATTCTATAATTTACAGGTTTAGTCCCTTTGATTTTTTTTTTTCTCTCATTTAAAAAACATCTCTAATCTTTAAACGACCGTATCTCTCAATCCGTGAAAAATTAGAAAACGTGTTACACATGAATTTTATTGTACTCGTCGAGATCTATTCAACAAGATCCATGTCGAATATTTTTTCGAGTTTAAAAATGACTAAATTTCGATAGGCAGAATAAGATGGATATCTTGTTTAGAAAGATGGATAATCAGTTTAGTTTAGATTAAGATTCTTGTATTGCATATATCTATTGATCTGTAAAGAATTAGAATACGAATTATACATGAAATTTATAATGCTCGACGAAATCTATCCGATAAGATCATGTTGAATATTTTTTTTGAACTTTAAATGCATTTAAATTTTACGGGCAGAAATGAAGAAATGTGTTTTTCGTTTTTCTTTGAAAAATGGTTATCTGTTGTGTTCCTACTGATTATCCAACCGGTTTGGACTGATTATCCATTTTGTTTGTGCTCGTTATCCAATCATATTTTTGACATTCACTCTTCAAAAAAAAAAGAAAGAAAGAAAAAATGATTGGATAAGCATTGCAAACAATTTGGATAATCAATAGAAAATAATTGGATAATCAGTGCAACACGTTGGATAATCAGTACAAAAAAGTTTGACAATTATTTTCATAAAAGAGCAAGGAAAAAAAAATACTGAATAACCACCACAAAGAAGTTGGATAATCAATATGAACATATTGGATATCCAGTTTAAGAAGATGGATAACCAACTTATTTTACATTCATATTGTTGTGTTCCTTATATCTTTTGATCCGTAAAGAATTATAACACGAATTATATATGAAATTTATAATGCTCGACGAGATCTATCCGATAAGATCAGTGTTGAATATTTCTTTTGAACTTTAAATGCATTTAAATCTCACGGGCAGAAATGAATAAACTGAAAAATGATTATCCGTTGTGTTCATACTGATTATCCAACTGGTTTGGACTAATTACCTATTTTGTTTTATCCAATCATATTTTTTACATTCACTTTTCAAAAAAGAAAAAAAGAAAAAAAAAGATAGATAACCAACTTAGTTTAGATTGATACTCTTGTATTACATATATTTCTTAATCCGTAAAGAATTAGAACACGAATTATATATGAATTTTATAGTGCATACAAACCCGTTGGATTACAACTACAAAACAAAATAGATAAGCATATAAACCAAATGGATGGATATCCAGTACAAGCGAGTTGGATATCTAGTACAAACGAAATGAATATCCAGTATAAACAAGTGGGATATCCGTTACAAACAAGTTTGATAGGCATACAAACCAAATGAGTGGATATCCAGTACAAACAAGTTGGATAACCAGTTCAAACTGGTTGGATAATCAGCATAAACACAATGGATAATCAATTTAAAATGAATTGGGTTATCCATATTGTAAAATTGGATATCCACCTTATTCTGCCCATCAGAATTTAATCATTTTTAAGCCTGGAAAAATATTGACTATGAATCTTGTTGGATAGAACTAGACAAGAACAATAAATTTTATTTTTTCTTCACGGATTGAGAGATATGCTTGTTTAAAGATTAGAGATATTTTTTTGGAGGAGAGAGAAAAAATTGACAGGGTCTAAACTTGCAAATAATAAGAAGATTATTAGAAAAAGTAAAAGAAGTACAATAAGTACTAGTAGTGCAAAAATAGGAGGGAGAGTATGGTGCTCCGGATGCACCCAATAAATTCTCATTTTTTTGTCATATCGAAAACAAATTTAAAATTAAATGAGATGAGCAATTTTGATACTTGGATCGAATAAAAATTCAAGTGACACGAATTATTTTATCCCCGTTTATAACAATTAATATGCCATGCGAAAATGGTTTATAAATTGTGTAATTCCCCAAAATCCTAAAAACATCAATATAGAAAATTGCTCACATGGCAGGAATCAGGATGATGCTCCTCTCTCTCTTTCTCTATTAACCTTTGACAGAGAGTGTTTGACTAGTCAATCATGCGACAGCTCTGGATCCGTGGGCCCCACCTTTCCTGGTCCAATCACCATATCTAATCATCTAAACCAGAGCCCAGAAAGGAACGTGTTATCCAATTTCCCACATACTACCAAGCCACGTAAGCCCGACTCCACAGTGTCCGTGTACCCACGCGCCACTTACCCTCCACTACCCGCCAAACCAGGATTCCCCATCAGTGTTACAGTAAACACACAGTCACACAGTAAGTTATTAACTTCGTCCCATGATCCATCCATCCATCCATCCATCTCTCAAACCTTGGAAAAAATTCTTCCATTTCTTTCTTTCCATGATCCCAGCTCGTCAAATCGACAATTTTCCCGATATAATCTCTCCATAACCGCCACCCTCCACCACCACCGCCGGCACCACCTCCTTTTTCCCCGTCTCTTTTGTATTCACTACAGCTACATTTACTCCACGTTTTCTGCCTTTTCTTTTTTTTTTTTGCCCTGCCCACGAAATTAGTTGTCGATTACCTTCCTTTTTTTTTCATCAGTTATAATAGCGGTTACTCATTCTTAGCCATTTACGCAGTTTTTACAGACAAAACACATTCTAAGCATATCTCCCACAACTTTTTTTTTTTAATCTTTATCTTAATCTCTTCAAATTATGTGTATCCCTTTTCGTATTGGACTCTTTTCCATTTTGACAAGTTAAAAGGAAAAAAAAAACAGATTGTGGTTGTTTGTTTAGGAGTAAAACGCGGAAAAAAGGCCATGCAGAATTTCCGGGAGGATTCATTGTTATTGTCTTCTCCCAATCTGCTATGCCAAGAAGAAACGGTCCATGATCATGATGGCGTCCAAGACTGTTTTTTGTCAATTGGGCATCATCATCAGCAAGATGACGATGATGAATATGTGGAAATGTTGCTGGACAGAGAGCTAAATAGCAGCGGAAATGGACTTCACAATGAAGAGTTTACGTGTAATATTAGTGCCTCCTGGATTAAAGAAGCGCGATTGAATGCAATCCAGTATATCATCAATGTATATGTACTTGAATGTATTTTTGTATTTTGTTTGATCAATTAAATTGACTCTGTTTTCATTCATCTTGGCCTAACATTTTCTCTTTTCTTATTTCCGGTTCACATCCAATTCAGTCCAGCCTATCACTTGGATTCAAAATCGAAACCACCTATCTGGCAGTGACATATCTGGATAGATTTCTTTCAAGAAGACTCATTGAGGTAATTTGATACATCAATTCTGCCATTTTGATGATACCTTATACCAAAATCTCTGATTTTTGTGTGTATGATGCAGGATGAAAAATACTGGGCTGTAAGATTACTGGCAATAGCTTGTTTATCACTCGCCGCGAAAATGGAAGAATGCAGAGTCCCATTGTTATCAGAATTTCCAGCCCAAGACTATAACTTTGAGTGTAATGTTATTCGGAGGATGGAGCTTTTGGTATTGGATACATTGGACTGGAGAATGGCATTGGCAACCCCTTTCAGTTTCACTTATTATTTTGCATCAAAGCTCTGTCAAAGCAATCCCATAAGAGAAACAGTACCCAGAGTCATTGACATTCTCTCGGCCACAATAAAAAGTAAGGCCGCCATCTTCTTCTTCTTCTCCTCTCCTTCTTGCTTATTTACAAATTGACTATCTCTGGATTTTGGAGGTGAGTTTCTCATTATGATTTTCTCTCTGGCAGACGTCAAAATGACGTATCATACTCCGTCTGCCATTGCAGCAGCAGCCACATTGTTGATATTGGATCAAAGAATGACAAGGGAGTCTTTGGTGCTTAAAATCAACACGTTATCTTCTTGTAGCAATCTGAAAATTGTAAGAGAAAATCATCATCCCTCTATCCCTCAATCCATGTTTCTATACTTTTTGATTTCTGGGTTAATCACTCATTTGTTATCCTTAATCTATGGCAGGATGATATAATCTCAGTTTATAATCAAATGAAAGAATCGGATATACTACACAACAATAGAAGTATAGAGTCGCCCCTGATATCACCACTCAATCTGCAAAGTGACAACACCATTGATAATGTGGGAAGTTCTTTGATTACTTCCTCAGGGGTTTCAGCTAAAAGAAAGAGCCTCAATTTCAATGATGAGAATGGTCAAAACTCAAAACGTCACAATTCCAGAGACTAAAATAAAAAAAAAAAGAAGAAAAGGATATCGGCAAAAAAGAGTGGGTTTTGGCGGGTAAAATGATTGGCCTACATTAGGCCTACCTTTATAATTATATCTGATTTCTTATTGATTTTTGTTTTTGTATTGGTTCTTCCTGTTGTATACATCGTGAATGACGAGAAGTTTATTGGTCATGTCGATGGAAGTTTGAAGTCAACAGTCACCAGCTCATAAGGTCGAGTTCTGGGAGCAAGCAAATGCTTTCTGCAGGATTTCAAAGATGACTTCCAAAGTGGGAGAACTATTCTTGATTTTGACACATCGATATACTTTTTTTAATCCCTTTTTAATATATTTGTGGTGATATATGAACATAAATCCCTCTGGCATGAAGGCAGCCCAACTTTTTAAGGGTAATGCTTGGGGGATGCTTGCTTTTTTGAAAGGCTGAAAGCAAGAGACTTTTTAAGAGAGGAAGAAGAATGGCATTTGTTTTTACTGTGTGAGTGTGTGTGATTTGATGCATCAAAATGTGTTGAATGCATTATCAGAGTTCAGAGCTACTAGTACTACTGTTGGATGAAACTTTTTTGTAAAGTTTCCTGAAATTTTTATTGGATTTTTGTTTGAATGTTCTAAGCATTAATTAATACTATTGAGGCAGGTCCCTCCTGTTTTCACTAATAGGGTTTAGCCTCGTGTTGAAGCTTGAACTCTTGGAGGAAGATTGCATTGTGAAAACCAATGTAAATGGTTCTTAAGTTGTTACCATTATGTTAAACAGATCTACTTTTACCGTCTGATCATTCATAAAATAACGTTATCTCCCATCATGTTTTGTGGTCATGTATACTAATTATTATGCTTGTCTAAACACTCTAAAACAGCCTCTGATTGGTGGACATCTTTCTTAACTTTCTAAACTCTGAATTTGTGGGTACATAGAGTTCAAAACGGCAATAAAAGGCTCAAAGAAATATCTAAACACCTTTGATTTTAACAACAGCGAGGAAGACAAACAAGACAGGTTGTTTAAACATGGTTAACATCACAAATCAATGGTCGTGTCTAAATAACTTCAATTTTAGGTCAAATCACTACATACACCTGAATTTGAAATTTGCGGTTTAGTGATAGCTAATGAGTTTGCAAACATATGTATAACTTAGGTTCATACATTGTATAAAGGTAAGCTCGACAATCTACCTGTAACACAAACTTAAAGTGGTACCCTTCCTATCCGGTAATAATAATCTTACTTCTAAACATTGTATTGTCCTTTGTAAAAGCTATTGAAACTGCATTCTTAATGCAACATCATCATAGCTTGTAGACATGCATCATTTATTCTAGGAAATGCTTTTACGATTCTACTCAGTTCATAATCTCGGAGTAAATCCGTTAAGACATCCTCGAATAACATGAAAGTATGAAGATTGAAATTTCAACAATGGGAAAAAAAAAAAAGAAAAAGAAAAAAAAGAAGTAAAGAATGGATATCTTGAAATCCATGGAGGTACTAAGAGTTAAATCAACCATTAGGAATATCACCAATCATGAAAGTAAACAATCATATGTTCAGAATTATCCCTTCACTAGCAAAACATATAACATATTCCTAGACCTTCAAAACTTCTCTGAACAAAGAATTCATGTTAGTCCTTACAGCCTCCTTGCAGTTTACCCCTTCAGCATATCCTCGCTTGAAGAAATATCTCCAAACTGAATGTGCTGGCATTTTCAGCCGACTAGAACAATTCCCACAAGCACTTTTCCATTCCACCACTTGCAAGGTTCAAGAAAAAATAATGTCCTCAGGAGGGGTGGAAAAATCGGTTAGCATTTTTCCTAATACGTTTCAGAATGATCCAACAGGAATCATCTTAATGGCAGCTGCTATTGGCATTCCGAGAAACCCTAAGCAGACACTAGCAAACCACTGCTGCCAAGTTAGGGGAGAAGTGTTTGCGAAAGTGCCTAGAAATTCTACAATAATGACCTGGAAGAGGACTGTGCAACTGAGCACAGCTACAAAGACATAATTTTTCAGTATGCCTTTGAAAACGTTGATGTTGTCCATATCCCTGGAGCTAATCTCATTAAACACCTGTGAAAAATCCAACTTTGAATCAGTGAAGCAAATTTGAATAATGATCAATAAGATGAACTTTTAGCAGCTGCACTTCAATAAATTTGGAGAATCAAAAAAAATTTAAAAATTGTTTAAACAAAGCTGTCGCAACACAGATTGCAACACTGATCTACAAGTTTTACCAGCATCGATAAAGTAGAGAGCAATAACAAAGATATCAAAAACAACTTCACAGAGGAAACAACCATATGGCAGGCCGCGCAATTTATGAACAAAAATATTTGTCAATCTATATTCTTTATAATGATAATCTTGCAGAAAACTGTAAAACACTCATCATAGGCACGCAGAATTACAATACTTGGAGATGATGCGTCTGACATGGATGAATCAATATCAAAAAAATATAATATTCATTTCAACAGCTCACCTGACAAAACACAAAGGAGTTGAAAATGAGGGTGTTCAAGATCAAATCAGAATCGGGGCCATCAAGCTGGAAAACAGACTTCCCTGATGTCTGAAGATACCAGATGATAACAAATTGATAAATGGACTGTCCCAAAATGTTCCTCCACATAACATTGCTGATAAAGTTTCCTTTCCTTCCAACAGGAGGCCGCTTCATTAATTCATCATTTGGTGGTTCAGTGGCCAGAGCAAGTGCACCCAGTGTATCCATGATCATGTTGACCCAGAGCAGTTGAACAGCAGTGAGAGGAGCATTGCCTGCGATTATCCACAATTAACGCCATGACAAAATGCAAAACTATAACGCATGAAAACTGCATAATCTTTTGGGAGAAATGTAAGACCAATAGCATGAGTTAATAATCTACCTGTTAAACAGGCCGAAGAGAAGTTGACAATCAGGGCAACAACATTGACTGTTAATTGAAACTGCACAAACTTCTGGATGTTTACATAAACTGACCTTCCCCACTTAGCAACAGTTACAATGGTGGAGAAATTATCATCAAGAATAATGACATCTGCACTCTCTTTAGCTACCTGGAATTTCGATATCAGCAGAAAAAACACTTAAGGCTTCTACACAAATTAACAAATATGCAGCCAAAACAAAAGAGCGTGCAGACACACATAAGGCTACTTTTAGCCTTTTAGCAGTTTACACATTATTCATAAATCATATGCAGATGGAGAATAAATGCAGTTCCAAGAATCTGTTGGAAGCTATATTAGCTGCAAAAGTACGTGGCAGTATTAAACATAGCAGAACTCAAGTATTACCTCTGTCCCGGATATGCCCATTGCAAGCCCAATATCTGCTTCATGAAGTGCAGGGGCATCATTTGTGCCATCTCCTGTCACTGCAACAACTTCTTGAAATGTTGTGCGTAAGTATTTCACCAGAGTGTGTTTATCCATTGGCGAAGATCGAGCCATGACCTGTCAAGGAAATGCATCCAGTTTAATTTTGGAACTGAAATTATCCCCTAAAAGATAGCTGTTCGATTTAGCTAATGCACCAATATGATTCTCATGGAAAGTGCAAAGTGCTTAAGGTGCTTAGGTATTCGGCAGCCCTTAAAATAAGCATCATGACTCAGTTCCAAGCAAAAAGTGAAGTAGGTCTAGCTGATCCTATTTAAATGAAGATATTACATACATTGCACGAAATATTCTGAACATGGAAGTAACAAAAGTAACAAGGGGAAAGTATCTCATGTGCTTACAGACTATAAGGAACAATATACAAGTGAACTTCCTTTTATTAATAAAACAGACATGTGAGTATCCTTTTGGTTAGGTGACTGCCATAAAGATCTAGGAATTACACACCAATGCTGTTTCACTAGATCCAGGCAAATAATGTTTTCTGTGGGAGTTATTTTGATCCAAAACATACAAGAGCTATAACCCGTAAAACTTCTTTTTGAAATTTCTAAAGTGCAGAACAAAATCACTTCCCAACATCATGATTGTACAATTATCCATTTAACGAAAATTAAAATCATTAAACTATTATAAAAAGAGCACCTGCAGTTTAGGAATGATTTCAAGCAACTCCTCCTCACTCTTCTGCCTAAAATCAGGCCCTTCTATAGCTATGCCATCATCCGTCAAAATCCCACACTCTTTTGCTATTGCCTTAGCAGTGTTTATATTGTCTCCAGTGACCATTCGCACAATGATACCAGCAGACTTACAAATTGCAACAGATTCCTTCACACCAGGACGAACAGGGTCTTTAATACCCACAATCCCTATGCAAGTGTAACCCTCAAAGGGAATTGAATAATTGGCTGAGAACTCAGTTCCAATTTCCTTGTAAGCAAGACACAGGGTTCGAAGAGCTTCAGAAGCAAATTGTTCGATCGTATCATTGAGAGAATTGATGGATGCTTCATCAAGAGGAACAACCTCTCCTTCTTCATTCAGGAACTTGTCACATGCAGTCAGAATTATTTCAGATGCCCCTTTACAATGTGCCCTGAAAACTCCTCCCTGAAGTTGCAAAACCACACCCATCCTCTTCTTCGTAGAATTAAATGGTTCAACTTTCACTAGTTTTGATGCTTGTCTCTCAGCATGAAAATCTCCACCGAGTGAAAGAGCAAATTCCAATAGTGCAGTTTCAGTTGGTGTTCCCAAGATCTCTATCTTCCCACCTTCACTCTTTACTACTTCTCCTCCAGTATTATTAAATATGGATTGAAGCAGAATCTCTTTTGCAGAATCAGGAATTTCAGAACTTAAGCTAGATGAGTCCACTGAGCCAAAAATTTTATTACAGAAGCATGTCTTAACCACAGTCATATGGTTTGTAGTTAGTGTACCAGTCTTGTCACTACAAATAGTTGTGGCAGATCCCATCGTCTCACAGGCAGCCAAATGGCGAACAAGTGCTTTATCATTCATCATCTTTTTCATGGCAAAAGCAAGGCTCAATGTAACAGCAAGGGGTAAACCTTCTGGAACTGCAACTACAACAATTGTGACTGCAATTGCAAAGTATTCAAGCATTTCCAAGGCATCATCTCCAGACCAGCTCCAGTGGGACATTTCTCTTAGTTTGCGGCTGAACAATGCTTGCACCAAAACAGCAAATGTGATAACAGCGAAAAATAAACCTATCTTCCCAATGATAGTTGCTACTCCATTCAGTTTTACCTGCAAGGGTGTCTCATCATCTCCTCCTTCACTGAGAGTGGCCATCAACTTACCCCACTGGGTCCTCATTCCAACAGTAGTAACAAGCATTTTGCAGGAACCATCTTGCACTTTAGTTCCAGAAAGGAGAAAAGGATTCTCAGCAGTCACATTAATCGGTTCACTCTCTCCGGTTAAGCTCGATTCATCTATCAACAAAGAGTAACCCGAAATAAAGAGCCCATCAGCAGGGACCTGATCCCCAATAGCAAGATGAACTATATCACCAGGAAGTAAGTCATATATAGATATCTTCTGTCTGAATCCATTTCTAGTAACCTGCACAGCGATTTTTTTCTTCTCTTTGTCCAAATCCTTGAATTGCAATGACTGTCGATAATCGCTTGTTGCGGTGACAAAAACTACTAACAAAATACTGGCAACTATCCCAAGTCCATCATGAGCACCCTTTGGCCAGCCCTCTGTTGCTATCCCGACTACTAGAGATATAAGGGCGCATACTGCAAGAATCATAAGTGTTGTATCCTGAAGAGCTTCCCAAACAAAAAGCCAGAACCCTTTCACAGGGCTTTCGGTAAATTTATTAATTCCATAAATTTGTTTTCTTCGATCAACCAAATCACCAGTACTGCTAATCCCATCTGTAAATGATGTTGAGAGTTTACTTCCTATACCCTCAACCCCATCATGAACCTTAAGCTTCCTCAAATTCCGTCCTTCAACAATAGATCCTAACTCATCAGCACAAATTTGGAAACCTGCAGCTTTGACTTCTTCCGGAGGAGAGTAACTAATACCTGGGAGCATTGGATTAACTTAAAATTCAATAATGCAAAACATAAGTTCAGCAAACAATCAGTTAAAATAATCATACCTTGAATGAAACTAAGAGCAGCTTGCGAAACCAACACTGCAATCCTAAGCTTCTCCTATAATATCAGAGGGGGGAAAAGAAATCAGAAGATAGCATTTTTAAAACAATCTCTTGGTAGCAAATGTCATTAATGCTACAGAGCGTAATCAAGCTTCAAATCACACGAAAATATGCAATTCACATTCAGTCCTGAAAGGAACATAAAGCAATGAATCAAAGGTGATCAGCATTTGTTCCCGAAGTGAAATTCAGAAACACAGAGAATCTCAATTCACCTAAGTTAGTTATGTCAAAACAGTACACTAGATTAGCCAGTTTCAGGCTGCTCCAGGACAAGCCAAAATTTCTGTTTACGACTTCTAAACTAAACTAATGCCTACACTAAACCAACTGAATCTAGCTACTTAAAGATATTTTACAGCTTCAAAAGTAAATATTCTCACAATTTGACCACTAAACACAGTGAATTCGATGATATGGTAATTTAAACTAAATGTAGGATAATCTGGCAGATAGTAAAACTCAGATCCTAAAATGCAACCAAATCTAAATGAATAATTCAAATAAAAGCAGACGGTCAAAGAACGTCAACAATAGCAGCTGCTCAACTCACAAACACCAAAAAAAACTTGGAAAAAAAATATATCTAATAATTCGTTCATCATAAAAACAGCGATTTAAATCGAACCTGATTGGATCGTTGGATAGCGCGGACTTCAAAACGCTTGGAGAGATTGGCGGTGAATCGGAACCTACGCTTGCGATTCTTGACCAGCCAACACAACTTCCTCCATCTCTGCAACGCTTCCTCCGACGAATTCTTCGCTTGAACCTCTCCGAAATTCTCTTTCAAGTAACTCTCCATCTCTAACCAAAAAAATTTATATCTCTAATACTCCCTTTGAAACTAATAAGCTAGCAGATCATCATCCTCTGTAACCTGAAACCGTTAGTTCATATTTTTTACTTGACGGATCAAAGTATCTAAGCTCATAAAACACAGAGATCCAAATCTGAGGAAACTATAAGATATTTTGCTGGAGAGTTTAATAACTGTTAGATATTCCCAAATAAGAATGGTCTTTTTTCTCGTTTTCTTTGGGTTGAGCAGGGGAAGTGGTGGGAGTGGGTGATTTTTCCTAATTTCTCGTAGAATTGTAAGAAAGTAGAAAGTTAAGTCAAAAGGGTTCTGTCTGCTGAAAATCTTTTTAATTACAACTTTTTTTTAAAAAAGAAAGAACTATAGCTAACTAGTTGATGTGATTAAGGAAATAAAACTAATGCCTTGGGAATTACGGTCAACACGGTAGTAGTAGTTGTAGTTCCATTTTAATTCCGGCCTTGCTTTCTATTCTTTTTCCGCCATACAGCACTTCGAATATTTCAGTCAGCATCAATACATGCCCGCTTCTCTCTCTTTGTTCCAAAATTATTGTCCAGAGTCAACAATAATTTTTCGAATAGAGAAAATACATCATATTTTAATCACAATTTAATAATTAATTATAAAAAATAATTTCTAGAATTATCTTACCCGTTTTAACTAAAAGAATCTAACAATCAGTGATTGCATTAACTTTACGGTCAATTCGCTCACGGTAACTCCTTAATATTGTAGACCAAAATCACCATGGCCTTGCGTTTTTCTTAATAGAGGAGACAAGGGGGCATTTTGGAGTGGTCATTCACTTTTTAAACTATCCTATAAAAATCATTCTGTGGATCTGTAGATCCAATAAGTCTGTCTTTACTAGTAATTATTTAATGATAATGTCATAATCTTGCTTACTTCAATAATTGAGCTTCTTAAGATTAAAAAATTGTAGCAACGAATTTCATTTGAAAATGTGGTATGAATGAAAAGACAAGTCGTTGGATCTGAATTGTTAACCTTTTTTTTTTTTTTTTTGCCCATAATCATACAACAAAGGTCGCATTCGTTCAAATTTAAGAGACCTATTTCACACTTCTTTCTCCCTTTTTTCGTGTGGTCTTAACATTTTTCGTTTCAGTGTTGCATTTTGACTTTGCTGCTAAATATCCAATAGCTAGGGTTATTGTGTTTATGAAAGGTCGACTTTATAAATGTGTTTTAGGCCTTACTTTTAGGAATTATTCTCATGAATGTAGTTTATTTTTATTTGATAATGTCTTATCCTCTAGATTTATTAAAAGGATTGATTCAAAACTTGAATATAGTATAGTAATTAAAATATTTATTAGAAAAATTTTGTTTCTCAAAAATAACATATCCGGCTTTAGTTCTTAAGAGTGTGGAGATACTATGGATTACCAAAAAACTTAACAGTTTTGTAATTAGTACCCTATAATCCAGCAATGGAATCTTTGACAAAAAGATATTTTCTCCCGTGTTCTAACAGGGTGACCAATTCCAAATTTCCAATGATACATAGTTAGTTACAAAATTACAGATGATGTATACAAGTCTTCCGACTTCCGCCGACTTTGCTTGTCGTTAACCATCTTCATCTCCATTTGACGTTTGTCTGCACTTCTTCATAATCAAGATTCTTGTCCAAGCTTTTAATGACCGACTTTTTGTATTTAATATTTCCTCATTTATTGGAATTTTCGAGGATACGAAAAAGGCTGCTGTGCTCAATGAACATCTTTTACGCGTCACACCTTTTCTTTTTTTTCTTGTGCTAATGGTAATAGGCATATGTAATCAGGTGAAATACAAATGTTGATGTCTAATAACTTGCACCTGTCCGCAACATTTGAAGGATAAAATAATATTTTCTCTATTCCAAAATAATTGTTCAATTTATTATTTTACTTTTCATATAATTAAAGTTAAAATTAAAAATTCAAACTGTACAATTATTTTGGGACGAAATAAATGAACTCATTCCCTGTTTTTCTGATAGTAACAATGACCTCTTCATGATCAGTATCATCCTTTTGACAAGCAGCAGGTCCTATGCAGTAAACCTGGACAAAAGCATCAATGATACCGCAGTAAAAAGTTTTAACTAAAATATTCAGAATTTCCGTAAAATCGAGATTGTATTTTTATTCTCAATCTCTATATTTCGCTCTCCTTTTTTTTTTTTTTGCGGTAAACTCCCTCCTTTTTTTTTGGTTTAAATATCTCTCTTTTTATTACCCCTATCAGTTACCCCTCTGTAGTTTTTTCTCTACATTCTTTTGATGGGCGACAACAGAATGTTAGAATGTTATGCATTAAAGCCATGATATTGGCCCATCCCTGACTGGAATGCACAGATAACTTATCCGGTTATTCCCCCAAGGCATAATAATGTCCTAATGGGGCTTCTCATTTGTCAACGGACTCCTGCTACATTGTGCCATCTATTTTGTTGTTTCTCAGACTGATGGTCCAGAAGCTCATTGGCCCAATACTTCAAGCTAAAACGTCTGCAAGATAGTAATAAGTATCGTACGATATACGTATCAAAATTAAGGATTTCGATACGTATTATGTTATGTATCGCAATCGTTTGTCTATCGGTCAATTATCGATATATATCGTATGATACGTACGATACACGATACGATTGCGTATCGCACGATACAAAAACATAGACAAAAAAAATATTATTCAAAAAAATTTAAACTTTTGTTTTATAATAACCGTTTAAATTTTAGATTAAGAGCGAATTTTATTTGCAATTTTTTTAAAATAGATATTATTGATTTATTTCTTTCACAAATATAATCTTTCTCAATTGAAGACAGAAGCGCTTAATAAATTATCATACTCTAAAAATAATATATTTAAAAATATTATTTTATTCATAATATCGTTTTCCAAATCAAGTATAACTAATACCATGTTGAATAAATGCAATACATGTTTATATTAATTTTCTCACTATTAAATTTATGGCTATAATGACAATTATCATGAAAAATGATATTTATTACATAGGTTGTACGACCATTATTCTTGTAATGAATGAGTAATTTGCGTAACTTTCAAATAATCTTGAATTTAACTTAATCAATTTATTTGTTTATAGCTGAAAAATAAAAAATATATAAATATATCAATGACATATGGATTTTATGATATTTATTATTTATTTTATACATATTATTATATTAAAACGTATCTTACGATACGATACACGATACGATACGCGTATCATAAATTTAGATTTCCTATACACGATACATATCACGATTTGATAACTATGGTCTAGAATGTTACATTGCGTGCCACACCGATCACATCGTCATCGATTCCAGAATTGGTTTTCAAATTAGTTAAAGTAATGATTTTAAATACTAAATACATATAATATTATATCTTGTATAACAGGAGACATTTTGCTGCCATTAAAATTAAATAATTTATTACAAACTTAACTTCTTTTTTTTTTTTTTGGGTACAATGAAAAAAGTTTTAAAACCTATAAACTAAATACTCCCTCTGACCAAAATTATTGTCCAGTTTGAGATTTCACTTTTAGTACAATTTGAACTAAAAATGAAAATCCAAACTAGACAATAATTATGGGACGGAGGGAGTAATTACATTTCAGAATAAGCATCTCCTATAACATCGTTATCATGATCAAGTCACCATCTAACCCAATAACCCATGATACACTAATTCGCTACAAGATTGGCTTTATGATATATTTGCACCAATTTCACAGCCTAATCCCTACAACACACACTGTAGTAGGCACAGAGCGTGAGAGAATCCACACTCTGAATTGGCCCAATTTGGGCTAATGTATGGTTTCTTTCTCTTTATCCTACTTTTTCCCCTTTCTTACCTAACCCATTGTTGAGAACAAAAAACTTTGTAGTGAACAATCTTCTCCGGCTTAGGATAAGAAAACGTGGACATTAATCTCACTTGTAATGATTTGGAGCAGCAGATTTGACCACGAGTCCTTTATTCATGGAACTGACTTGGATTGCATTACCAGGTTTAAACCCTTAATCGTACGTGTATTCTGTCAACAACTTCATTATGATATTTTTCTGCACGGGTTTTGAGTTGAATTAACTGTTAAGGCACTTTGAGAATCGACCACAATAGTAGTACTACTAATGCCTTTTTGCACTTAAACGTACACATAGGGATCCAAATAAGATCTCATGTCGTATTTATTGTGCAAGTAATTTCTTGTGTCACATTAATGAGACGGTATAAAATCATGATTAAATATCAAAATATCTTTTGACATTTGGAAAAACTTCATGTAAGATTCAAGTAAACTAATGCCTAACGTGCAGTTGGAAAATTTTATCCAATTTTCTGATAGACGTTGATGATCTGCTCCATATCCTTGATGGCAAATAATAACAAAATACCTAGGAACTTTACGAGATATATCTCATGAGTATGTGTAATACATTATATTTCTACACAAGTTAATTTATTTTTCTCCTTCAAATTCAGTTATACGCGCATTTAATCTTCCAAATTTTATCTCATTTTCTCGCACACATTTAATTTTAAACTGTTTTTTTGTACTTTATTCTGTTATCTTTTATATTATTTTAGGATTTTATTTTGGTAAAATTGAATATGGTTCATCATCGAGACTTATAAATCTGGAGAACCAATTGGAGCAAAAAATTTTAACTGATAAGCAATAGAATTCAGAGAATTAAGTGTCAAATATGTAAGATTTTAATGGATAACAATGTTTATTCGGATGAATAATGGTATACTTATCAATAAATAATGATAATATTGCGGATAAATAATGGTATTTTTATAGTGACAAAGTTATGGATAAATAAAAGACAAAATGCACTTTTGGTCCCTAAACGTTAAGGGGTCACAACTTCGAGTCACTATTAATTTTTTACTGACGAAATCGATCACCGTCTTTTCATTTATTCATCAACTTTAGTCAACTTAACAGAATTTATTGTCAACTAACATTCAAATCTTTTCTTTGTTAAGTTTCTTGTTTTTTTTATTAACTTTTTACTAAATTAGGGACCGTAATTTATTTTCAAACAACAAAATCAGTTCCCTAATATATTTTTTTATTCAACAATTTTCACTTTAACAGAATTTTAAAAAATTTAATGGCCTAATTCATTTTTCGTTAAATCTTTATTTTTTATTGATTTCTTAATAGATTGTGGGTCCCACGAGTCTTTGATCAGAATTTTTTTAAAAGAAAACAAATTAAAGGAATGATGAATATTTCCAGCCAACTTCCTAACCCCAATGTTCTGCTCTCCAATGTTTCAACGTCACTTCCCCCGGCAATGTACTCCAGAAAATGAGTCTCATTATTGATTATTTTCGTTATTTGGGTTTTTTTTTTCTTGGAATTTATTTCTCGGGTAATCCAATTAAATTACTAGCTCTCTTTGTTTGAGTCACCCCTTTCATCGTCTCTTTCTTTTGTTTTCTTAATTTTGATTTTGTTTCAAATATTTTGTTCTTGTCGCAGTGGTCTATCTCTGAATATTTTCTGTTTATTCTTGAATTTCACAGTTTGTTATCCTAGTTTCTATGACTTGGTAAAAAAAATTCAGAAAAAAATCGTGAAATTCAAGAATGAACAGTGCATATTCAGAGTTGGCCAAAAATAATTTCATCATTCCTTTAATTTGTTTTCTATTTTTTTTTTTTAAAATATGATGAAAAACATGTGGGACCCATAATCCGTTAAGAATTTAATAAAAAAATAAATATTTAACAGGAAAATGAATTTGGCCATTGAATTTTTGAAAATTTCGTTAAAGTGACTAAAATTGTTGAAAAAAATATTATGGGACTTATTTTATTGTTTGAAGATATATTGCGGGCCCCAGCTCAGTAAAAAATTAATAAAAAATTAAAAAATTTAACGGAAAAAGAGGTGACCGTTAGTTAACCATAAATTCCATTAAATTGACTAAAATTGATGAATAAACGAAAAGATGGTAACAATTTTGTTAGTCAAAAATTGATGGTGACTCAAAGTTGTGACCCCCAAAGTTTATGGACCGAAAGTTTGTTTTGTCCACAAATCAATTTACCTTTTGAAATGAATAACGATATTTACAGAGATGAATAACGAAGTAAATTTTGATGAATAATGATCCTAACCTAGATGAATAACAATACTAAAATGAAGAATAGATATAGTTTTGTTAGATGAATAATTGTAACTTAGTAAATGAATAAAATGTCGTGAGTGGATGAATAATGTTCAACAGAATGAATAACTTTGAAAAAAAAAAACTAACAAGAGTATATTTTACAGTGAGTTAATCTCAACAACTAATCTAACACACTTTTAATTATGTATTATACTATACCAAAATTTAACAAAAAAATTAGTCATTCTTTTTAACATATAAGGTATTGACGGATTCGCCGATACTCGATACATTTATGTTCATTGTTTGATTTCAGCAACTCTGCCAAATATTTGATTCCCGCTCGATCGAGTTCATCTTGATGAACATTTTTTTGTCGCTGATCAAACAAAAGGAATATTACAATAAGTGAGATTTTACATTCAATCAAAACTCTGTTAATCATCAGTAATAATGCTATTGAAAATGAATAATCATTTTGAAAATGATTAACAAACATTAAAATTACATAAATTGAATCCAGTTAATAACAATCGTGTACGGGTACATATTGCGTGATGAATAACAACATCACTGGTGATGAATGATATATCTTTACATGATGAATACACATATCTACGGAATGAATAACACATGTTCAAATGATGAATGACATATATTGATAGGATGAATAACACTATTTTATAGGATTAGTGACACATTTTTACAATTGTGAACAATCACATATTATATGATGAATAACAATACCATTAAAATGAATGACACATCTTTACAGGATAAATGATATTTATAGTATGATTAACACATATTCAAATGATGAACCACACAAATTCTCACGATGAATGACGTACATTCACATCACTATATTAGATCAATCTTTAGATGAATAATGACATACTAGAGGATCAACAACCATCATATTTGCATATATCTAATCAAGACCAAATGCCTAAAATGCACAGACTATATAATGAATAACGTCTTAATAGACGATGAATAGTCATGCTTAACATGATAAATAATCATCAGATATGCATACACCTAATCTAAATCAAAATATCAACAATGTATATATTACATGATTAATAACAGATTCGCAGAGGGTGAATAATCACTCTTAATAAGATAAATAATAGATCAATATATTGTACGCGATATCCATAAAAGGCAAATTATATTTAATTAGAAGGATGAAGAATCATTGTTACCTGAGATTCAACGCCGGAAATATCGGAATTCTTACCCCAAATTTTTAGGCTACCGGCGGGAAATAGTCGTGAAATTTGTACATATAATATTTCTTCTTTCTTACAGCAGATCTGAATCCATAAATCTCTGGCAATTCACCAAATCTGAATTTTGTTCTTTGTCACAACAAATCTAAATCCATAAGTCTCTGACAATTTACCGAACGGATTGGAACTCGCAATTCTAAATTACCAAACAGAGATTTTGAGAATTTCAAACAAGATTCACGTAGGAATTTACATTTTTGAGAAATAAATTTCCAGTAACAAATACACAAAACAATTGAATAACATCATTTCCTACCGTAATCCTCATATCCAGTGAGATATATTGGAATAAAAGTCCTAGTTTAAGATGCACAAAGATGATTCTGCCTGCAAGAGTACCATCAATGAAAGGTTTTGAAAAATCGGATTGATGCAAAATGAATTTGTTTTTTCGAGAATGTAGTTTCAAATGGATTGGATATCTAGAGTATTTGGCTTAGTGGCAAAAAAAAAGTTTGCTTATCCCTATTAGTTTCTAAATTAGTTTCTGAGGTAAACAGAAGGGAATTCTTGGAAGAGGATGGTTGGACATGAACGAATTACAGATCTCCGCTTGTGGAAAGGTGCAGAAATACACTGCCAACGCTTTGCAACTTCTAAACAGTGACGATGCACCGACAGTGGTGATAAAGGCTATTGGACACACCATTCCCAAAGCCGCGGCTACTATGGCGGTGACTGGCCGGCTGAATCGATATGCTCTACGCGTAACAATTACAATTAGTTATGTAGAATCCAAAAGAAATTCACCCTCTCCTTGCAAGCAAACAAGACATCGACGGAAGCGGAGTCGTCTCTGTGCCGCTAAACATACAGCAGCTCACGAATCTGGGATGCCAATCAAGCATGGTGGATCCCTCGATGGTCAAGCAGCTCATCGTGGGCATCGGCGCATGCACCAGGGTGGTGACCAATACACAATCCTCTCTAGGTAGCCATGGACTATTCTCCGGCTGGAGTCACCACCAGCGATTCAATTGTAGAATTTCTGGGCACTGTTGAAAATTTTTCGTCATTGCTTCCGGCGACGACAGCAGGGCGGTGTGAAGTGAAGCAAACTGCTGTCGTGTCCAACGCAGATGCAACTGCGGCCCTGGGCCCACAACACTTTGGAGATAAGTTAGGTCATGTGCTTACTAAAAAGCCCAAATTGGACTTAGGTTGGAATCTGGCCCAACAATCATTTAATTGTCCAAATGCTTTGGTGCGGTCACCATTTCACCAGCCTACGGGCCTTGGTTCTTCCAATCAGACTTATTTTGCAAAACATATGCATCAATCCACATTCGATCAACGCGGGAATCTGGAAGACATAATTCCAGTTGGGGCAAGAGGACGTTCTTCTCCGGTAACAGCAGCTAGGCAAATGGCTTTGGGTAAGAGGTCCAGAGAGTTTGAAGCCATCAAAATTGGTTCTAATTCCTGTAAACGTTCTAAGGTTCTCACTGAATTGGAGACAAAGGTACATGATAACTTCTGTATGCCAGTTCAAATTCCTAGTAGTACAGTTTCATTTGAAGATGGTTTTCCGGTGGTTGAACCAAATCAACCACCCAAGTATCCATGAAGTTCCTTTCTTAGAACCGCAGGGGATTAGCTAGAACCCCTGCAGTACAAACTTTAAAACAGTTGTTAAGTTCTTTCAATCCCGAGTTTGTTTTTTTACAAGAGGTGATGCTTAGTGATGATGTTGTAGATCGTTGGCTTGATAGTACATACTTTGTAAATAAGTGTGTTGTCTCTACGGAGTCCTTTGCTACTAGGTTAGCTGTGTTTTGGTCAAGCAATGTTAGTGCTCATGTAATTAGCAGCTCCAAGCATGTAATAGCTATGTCAATTCAGGAATCGTCAGGGTTTATTTTAGGAATCGTCATGAAACTCACCATTTGGTATGGAGCGAGATCAAGACTCTTCTTTTGGATTCCACTTTGCCTTAGGTCATTTTGGGTGACTTTAATCAGGTTATTTCTCCGGAGGATAAGAGGGGAGGCTTGCATTTTAATGAGAATAAGGCGAGTCTTCTTCTAAGTCTTTTTGATGATTTTCAGTTGCAAGAGGTGGCTTATAGTGGGAATAAATCCACATGGACCAATAATAGGAAGGGTCAAGAGAAAATTCTTGAAAGGTTGGATAGGGCTTTTGCTAACCCTCTTTGGCTGGACACCTTCTCGGAAGCATCAGTGATAAAATTGCCGATTAGAGTTTCTAATCATGGTCCATTGTTTCTATCTACAATTCCTCATAAAGTTACCCTCACAAAACATCTAAAGTTTCAGGCATTTTGGTCCAAGACAGAGGTGGCAGAGTCAATTCTAAAGAAAATATAAAACTCTCCACCAACAGATAACATAGACACGTTGCAAAATCTATCAAACAAATTGGGCATCAGTCTCAAGCATTTATGCAACGGGAGTCGATCATCGTTTGAGAGTATAGACAAGAGCATCAAGAGTTTGAACAATAGGTTACGCATCCTGCAAGAAGGTGATGGGTTGGTAGTCAAGGAGCAAGTCCTCAATCGGTGTGAATATGAGTTGTACAAACTTCTAGATTTCAAAGTTGTGTACTGGAAACAGCGAGCTCATATGAAATGGAACACAGAAGGTGATCAAAACACCAAGTACTTTCACAATTGGGCAACAAAAAAGAAAAGAAGAGCTTGGATTAGTGCATTAGAGGATCCTCAAGGAAATGGTGCACTTCACAGGAACAACTTCAGACAATAATGTTCGATCATTTTCAAAAGGTCTTTGTAATGGAGGATAATAACTTAGATTCTGGAGAACCGAGAGGCTCTAGTTCAGAGATTTTGGATCTAATTTCACACACAATTACTACCGAGCAACGATACTGTTTAAGCATGGACTTCACAGAAGATGAGATTTAGACATCATTAAGCGAAATAGCACCCTGGAAGGCTCCTGGACCAGATGGATATCCAGCAGGGTTCTATCAAACTTACTGGCCTATTCTCAAAGATGCATTAGTGCCCGGCTTACTGCAGATTCTAAGAGGCCAAGCATGGGATGATCATTGGAATCGCACTCAGGTAATCTTCATTCCAAAAGTTGGTATCCCTTCTTAGCCTACGGAATTCCACCCTATAAGTTTGTGTAATGTTAAGTATAAGATTGTGACCAAAGTAATAACCAATAGAATCAAGAAAGCATTGGGTAATATTATTTTAGAAAATCAAAATGGTTTTATTCCGGGTCGTTACATTGGTAAAAATATCTTCCTTGCTCATGAAGCTATTGAATTCATCCGGAAACACAATCAAGGCCAAAAGGGCTTAGCGGCAATCTAGGTAGAGTGACATTGGCAAAGCATGTCCTATCCTCTCTTCCAATCTATATGATGGGTACATTTAAGCTCCCTTATAGTGTTTGCAAGGACATTGACTCAGTCATTGCAAGATTTATATGGAAAGGGCATGAGGCTGGTAAAGGTATTCATTGGAAGTCCTGGAAATTTATGTGCCAGTCAAAACTCAATGGTGGGATGGGTATGCGCTCAGCTGAGGAATTTAACCAAGCGCTACTTGCCAAACTTACTTGGCGCATCTATTCCAATCCTGGTTCTCTTTTTCCAAAGATATTTACGCAAAATATGTGGGACAAAAGAACTATTTAGCTTGTGATAGCAAGACATCTTGCTCTTGGGGCTGGCGAAGTATACTGCACGGGAAAGCACTGTAAGATAGGAGTATGAAATGGAGAATTGGGAATGGAGAGAGTATTCGCATTGAGGAGAACTGGAAACAAGAGGTGAACAATCCCTTGAGAGACGATCCTCTTTTTCATGGGCCGCTCAACATAAAAGTCAAGGACCTCTGGGATCAAAATAGAGCTTGGAGAGTTCCTCTTTTAGAGGTAATGTTTTCGCAATCTACAATTCATAAAATCATGTCAATTTACTTGTCTTCTAGTCAACAATCAAGAGAGGATGTAAAAGTCTGGGCACCTATGACTACTGGAGTATACTCAGTCAAGAGTGGCTATTACAAAGCCTGCAATACAGCAGACCCACACTTAGCCTCGGGGAGGTCAAAAGAGGCATGGAAAAAGTTGTGGTCCTTAAGTCTGCATGGGAAACTGCAATGGTTTATATGGCGTGTTGCAAACAATGTGGTGCCCTCCCTAAAAAATTTAGATCATCGCGGTTTAGAGGTCCAGACACTTTGTAAAAGCTGTGAAAGTGGAGAAGAAGATCTTCATCATATATTCCTTGACTGCATTGCCGCAAGAAAGGTTTGGCTTATTTCCTCCCTTGATTTTATTACTGTAGTGGGATTGCGTGATACCTTTGACATCTGGTTAGAAACTTTGATAATGACTGCACCTTCTGAAGAAGGAATTCAACATGCTTTTTTTACCCTCTAGTCCATCTGGAAGACACGAAATGAATTTGTCTGGTGAAATGTGCGATTGCAACCTCAAGCTACCAAGGCCCGGGCAATGAAGGAGTGGCAAGATTATGTAAACTCTTGCTGACAAACCCAAGAATTCGGTCACTACAAGGAGCATGTCGCCTTTGCAACAGGCAAATACACAAATCTTAGAAGCTCACTACATAGTTAGAACAGATGGGGCTTTTAAGAAACTTGGAAAACAAGGGGCAGGAGCTTGGGAGTTATTTGATAGCAATGGTAATTTGCTCACCGCTGGAAGTGACACATTTCATGCTCTAACTGCACTACAGGCTGAAGCAACCGCAAGCCTAAGAGGTATCAAGGAGGCACAACGCTGACAGGTCCAAAAATGTCAACTCCAAATAGATTGCGTTAATTTAGTGGAAATGTATTATCAAAGAATGGTAGTCCCGGTACATGTAGCTGATCTTATTCAAGATATCAGGGAAATAGCTAGGGAGTTTGTTAGTAGTCATATGGTTAAAGTTCCTAGAGGGTCAGTAGAAACTATAGATAGATTAGCTAGAGATGCTTTGTCTTTGTGTACTCATGTACGATTTCTGTTTAATGAAAATGAGTTTCAAAAAAAAAAATGGATTGGATGGAATGGTATAAGATGATGACTGAAAATTAGGAGGAATATCCGGATATGAAGATTTGAAAATCTTTTTTCCTCTTTTTTTGGACGCGTGTTTAACACATTAGGAACACCTTGCAATGTGTTCCTAGGTCCCTATATTATAATTGATCCTTGATGCTCTCGGGGTTGATCGATGTGCTTATGTGGGCCACTCTGTTTCCGCCATGATTGGGATTATGGCTACGATTCACCGAACTATTCACCAAGCTCATTCTTATTGGTGCTTCTCCAAGGTAATTTTAAATTATACTACAAAAAAGGAATATAATTGATTTTGCGTCTTGTTCTTAAAATGCTCTGTTTTCCCCTTTTGCCCTTACTAAAATGGTACTCATTCATTCATTCATTCGTACTGAATTAGACTAGCCCAGAATTGGGATGAAATTTATCCAATTTTATCCGTTTAGTTTGGATAGACGGTATGATACAATGTAGTAGGTGCGAAAATTTTTTGATAGATCTCTTAATCTTCATTAGTAGAATAATTATCCAATTTGAGAAAAGTAAAATGTAAGATAAAATTTTTGAATAGGCATTTTTATCTTAAGGTCTTTCTCGCCTCTTAATTTTTATTTTTTAAAAAATCAGTGCCTACCTTTTAAAAATTAGAAATGTGCATTTGCATATTGTCATCTTTCTGGAAAAATTTAACATAGCAAATGCCTAATACTTCTAACTTAGTAATACTGGTTAGAGAGCAAACATCGCCTATTTATTTATAATCATAATCATAATTTACATAAATGATAAGAAATCAGCTTGATTGGAAGGGACTTGCTACATATCATTAAAAAATAATTCAGAGGGGTGCAAAAATCATATTTTATATTCTTTTTCATCATAATTATTCAAAATTCCTAAAAAAAAATTAAATATCGGAGGAGGCACGGCCGCACCGGCTGGCCCCCCCTTCCCTCCGCCTCTGTATTTAGTATAAAAAGTAAAGAAAAATACATAAGAAGCTTATTTAAGAAATCTTTACTCTTTTCTCGTTCGAAAATGATTGACCTTTTCTGAGACCAAGCGAGTACAAGTTTTTGATGAGAAAACTCATCCATTATCACAATCCATGAGAAGTTTCCATTGCCCTGCAAAACCAACTAACTAGTACATGGGAAAGATAGATGCATGCACAAGAGCGACTCAATGTTTTCAGAGGCCCGAAATTGTGGCCTTTTAAATATAGAAAAATAAAAGATATAATAAATAATTTAAAAAGTACCAAAAATTTTGCTTCATACATTCATTCAGAACTAAAATTTTCAGATGTTACTATATAGCACACAGATATAAATAGTGTTTTGATTCACTTTTACTTTGGAATTTCGCGAAAAAACTAACGGTCAAATTTTATTTTATTTTTTACACGTAAAATTCACGTGAATTGACCTGAGGATATTATGCGACCATCATAAAAAATTGACTCGAGTCTTTCTTATTGCTTGATTTGCTTGTAAATTACAAAAATAGTATGATAATCATGGAGACTAAACCAAGGAAGACGATCTGAATAAGTAGCTCCTTTTCTTCTCTGCTATTCCACAAGGGGCTGTCTGAACAGTTCAATACTTAGGTAATTAATCCCAACTTCATTCTGTAATTAGCTTTTTCCCATGTGCTTCAGCAAAATATTAGCTAATAATCATCATCTTCCCTTTCAAATGTCTTCAAATCCGCAACAAAATGTAGCCCTCCGGTTCTTATAAGACAAATTTGATTTCTCCTAAGTTTTATTTTATCGTGTTTTTTCAATTGGAAATAAAATCTTAAAAATATTATATAATAACTGAGACAACATAATAAATGTGAAAATGCTTTTTGAAAGTTTTATTTATCGTGTTTTTTTTTTAGATTATCACTATATATGAGCATGAATGGGTACACAATGGAGCCAGTAGTGCCTGGGAACTACTCAGAAATCAATATCCTTGCACCTCTGTACACAAACAAGAACAACATCATAGTGTAGCAAATGATACACTGTAGAATAATTATTTGAACCATCAAACTCCCAGAGAATCCGCCGCACAGTCCTTTAAGCAAAGAAATCAAATACTCATAACAAGAGTATTGGGCAGAGTGGATAAGGAAAATAGTGTAATAGTTCATTCAAACAACACCTTTTGCTCGCTTTAGTCAAGATAGCAAGTGATAATACATATATATATATATATATATATATATATATATATATATTCCCATCCTTTCAGATCTCTCTTTGAGAGATCTACTTAAGATATTTGGTGTAAAGTCTTGTTCACAGATCCTATTAAACGGGAAACACTTTTGGCGATTTCCAGTGGAGTTTTATATGGACACACAATAATAATTTATCAATTCACGTGCATCTCACGTGCAAAGAGTTGACCATTAATTTTTTTTACAAAACCTAACACAAAAATAATTAAAATACTATTTAAATTTGTAGTAGTCATATAATAACATCTGAAAAGTAGCAAACAATTTTTTGGTATTTTTGGAATAATTTATTATAATATATAATTTTTAAATCTCATTTATTCGGATAGATTTGTAAACATTGAGAAATTATTTTGGTGGTTGGATAGATTGCGAGTGATTGAGATAAGAAAATATTGAGCAATTCTTTTTTTTTTTTGGTTTTTAAATAAGAAAATTGATTTATTAACTAAAAATATTAAGAAGATTCGGAAAAAAAAAGAATTCAAAATTTGTAGAGTTTACAATAGAATTGAAGATATGTAATTTTTATTTTACGAATTGTAGCCTGTTTTATTTATTTTAATTTTTTAAGATAGTATAAAAATATTCATTTTTGAAGAATTGGGGGCCTTCCGAAAATAGGGGCCTAAAACTATTGTTTCATTGACTTTATGGAAGGTCAGCACTGATAAATTCACACGTACTTACTTAAGAAATCTTTACTCTCTTTGTTCTGAAATAATTGACTTGTTTCGAGACGGAGAGAGTACATTTTTTGATGAGAAAACGTGCTCGTTTGGACGTCATCTTACATTTCATTTTGCCACTTAAAAGTAAAAAGTATTTCAAGTTGAAAACTAAATGGGAAATGAAAATGTTGTTTAGAAGGTATTTTGAGCAAAAAGTTGTTTAGATGTTGGTTTTGAAAAAAATATTTTGAACTACATTTTGAAAATATCAAGTACGAGTCATCACTAAACAATTAAATACTGTCAATTATAGTCACTACAAAAAAACTTTTTCCAAAAATAATCACTCAACAATAGAATCTTGCCAAATTTGTCACTGAACTATTTGTAGTTCTAAAATGGTCATTACACTAACAAAAGTGTTTCAAGTTGGAATTTAAAATGTAAATCAAACCGTTGTTTGGATAATATTTTCTTTTCGATTAGGTTTTGTGTTTAAGAGGTAAAATGAGTTAAAATGTAAAATGAGTGCTTGTCCAAACAAACACCATCCATTATCACAGTCCATACAAAGTTTACATTGCCTTGCAAAAGCAACTAACTAGTATATGGAAAAGATAGATGCATGCACTATGTAATTTTTCCCATATGTCCTCTTGCTCAGCCTCGGCTATCATTTTCTAACATTAGACAAAATCGAAAGTTATGATTGAGGCAAAGATGCTCAGCTAAAATGTGAGAAAAAAGAAGGAATATAATAACCCAAAGGGAAAGAAAAAGAGGAAGAAGAAAATGAACAACACAAAAGTCAACAGATAAGATAAGCCCGATGACACATCATTGCGCTTATTTTTACAATGGGAGAAGGAAAATTTTGTACGAAGAAATCAGAGAATCCTTTCATATGTTTTAGGGTATTTATTTTCAAAGCCACCGCCTTTATTACTTGAAGTCACATATTTTAAAATTAGACCATTTTACCCTTATATATTTTTTAAATCAAATAATTTGACTAGAAAGAAAATTAAAAAAAATGAAAATTTAAAAAAAAAATAAAAAATTGACCGACCGGGCGGTTCACCCGTCCTGGGTTAACCGGGGACGGGCAAGGAACGCGTCCTCTTGTTCGTCCCGGGACGCGCAATGAACGCGTTCGGGCGAACAAGAGGACGCGTTCCTTGCCCGTCCCGTGTTAACCCGGGACGAGTAGATTGCTCGTCCGGTCCCGGTTCGGTCCGATATGGTGAACCGGACCGGTCAGGCTCTTTTTCTTAATTTTTTTGTTTTTTTTTAAAAATTTTTTGGTAATTAAAAATAGCAATATTTTTTATTTAAAAAAGTCTAAAAATTAAAAAATATCAATCGGATTCATTACTATTTTTTTAATTTTTAGATTTTTTGTTGTAATTAGTTAATCTAGTTTTTAGGTCATTAAATTTATTAATAATTTATTATTTGAGTTACATTAAATATCACCAATCTTTGTAGTACAAAAAAATAGTTAATCTATTTGCACATATTTGTCACAATCTTTGTGGTACAATTATTATTTTTCATTATAAATGTATAATTATTATTTTAACTAAAAATTATCTTTAAAATAATGATTAAAACAAAATTTATATTTTAATATCAATTCAAATAAATTAACTTAACAAATAATCTTAAATTTTTTTTCAAGTAAAAATTAATTACTTGTTTATTTTCAAGTAAATATAAAATCGAGAGTTTAAGCACTAAAGTATAAATATTGTTAATAATATTTAAAATACGAGGTATTTAATGTGTAATAATATTGTGAATAAACTAACTTTAAAATAAAAATTAATAATTTATCCGTTCTCACGTGAATCGGACCGAATGACTTGCCCGATTCGGTCCGAGCGACAGAGGCAAAATGGTCTAAAATTTCTTTTCGTGACTTTGACTACTAAAGTAGGTGGCTTCAAAAATCCACCCCCTTGTATATCACCAAGCGGCCCTTCCTCATTTGCTGCTTTCTCTTCTTCTTCTTTTTTTTTTTTTTTTTTTTTTTTTCCCCAATTCGTTCTCTCAAACCTTTTACAATAAGACACCATTTTTGTCTGGGTTTTTCAAATTCAGGGACCCCTCCATTTTACTAACCCAATTACCCAATTTTTAATGCACCTGTTACTGTCAAACTCGTGCTCCCCTTCAAATCGTTGGGTCATTCCATTCATGATTCGTGGATATGGGAGATTGGAGAGAAGGCGACCTACTAACTAACTGTAAATCAAACTCTGTTCTCTATGAAGTATTTTGATGCATAATGATTCATCAACATGAAGAATGATGATTGCAAACCCTGATCTGATTCTGGGTTGGTGGATTTAGTCCTATCAATGGTACCGAAAAAAACAGGGCAAAGATAAGAGTGGGTTGATTTTAAACCAATGCTTAGATTTAGTTGAACAGTAACACCCCCAAAAAGAAAAAAAAATCCAATAAGTACTCTGTTTTCATGGATAATGAGAAACCACGTTCTCTGATCATTATGAAGGTGGCATGGCATCTCAGAAGCTGTGAGTTGGATCAGGAATCTGACATTATCACAGGAAAGCTCTGATCAGATAAGTCAATGAACGTACACCATTTGCAGATGTCTATTCCTATGAGTAAGAAAAAAACGAACGGATATGGATGCGGAAACATGAAAAAGAGGGACCATTCAATAAGTTTGTCTTTTGTGCCTATGCTTAAGAACAACAACTCCCCACCCCCTATTCTGCAATTTGAGTCCACAAAAGCAATGGTATACTGAATAATACTGATTGATTGGTCTTTGATAAGGGAGAAAAGATGAACTAACTTGGAAGAAGATTCCAAGTTATTAGTAGCCTGGTGGTAGGCATGGTTTTTTGGTTTTTGGTTTTGCAGGTTTTGAGAATGTGACCTGAAGCAAAATGCAATCAATGAAGGAAGTGTATTAGTTGGCCGGGGACCAGGTTTTTCTTTTTTAGTGGATAGCTCTGTATCTTTCTTTTGTTTTTGATGTTATATGTCTATTAGTATTTGATGTTCAAAGAATCAAATTTTTCGTTATTTTTGCTGGGGGGAAAAAATGGTCAGTCCTGACATCATGGCTCTAACGTGGTTGCCATTAACATCAATCACTCATATGGATACACCCTGCATTTTTCACTGAAAATCAAGTAGCAGATAGCATCTAGGCAGAAAAAAATTTCAATCCTTTAGGTTTTTTGTCGAGTTTATTTAGTCAGGAAAAAGGTTGAAGGCACTAATCCATCTTGTACCAATTAGGTAAACTTAATTAAGTGAAAGGACAGCAGCATGTGGATTGTGGAGAAGCCAAAGGATTACGACATTTCCATTCTCAATATTTATGAACAGCCTTTGTTTGTACAGTCAATAACAAGTAAAACCAATGATTGACACTGATGTATTTACTGCACTAAACCCATTCAAATGTCTGATTGTTGCTAGTTCTGGATCCCAAATTACAGTTATTTACAGCACTAAATTTAAACTCACTCATGAATATCCCAATCATCTGATTTTTGGTGGGTCTGAAATCTGAATTCCCTATATTCCACAATTTTATCCATCATCTGTCTTTTGCTCATGAAAAAATGTATACTTTACCAATACTACATCCATTTAATTGCAGCCCGGATTCAAACAACAGTCATTTTGCCATGGTCCTGATGTTGTGGAATATCTTAAATATCTTTTCTAGAATTCCATGACCTAAAGGTAACACTGAAAGTCAACATAAAAAATGACCTAAAACATGAAAAAATAAGCTCGGAAATAAAGTTGAAAAATGAAATTACCAGCACTAGCACCACACAAAAAAAAAAAGGAAGAAAGAAAAAAAAACACACCAATATGATAATTCTTATGTGACCACATGAAGGAAATATCCAAAGTAACATTAGAACGTCCAAACTCTTCCAATACGGCTATAAATAGCTTCAAAGACAAACCGAGACATTGACTGGTATAGCAGAAACAAACTGACTACAATTGGGAATAATTTACTCACACCATTTCTCTATTTATACCAAATATACTACTATAGCAGTATACCCCAATCCGCTTTCTCTCAACAACCACCCATCAAATTTCTTATCAATTCAATAAACTTTGAAACAAAAGAAAAAAAAAAGAAAAAAAAAGTAAACCTTATTATTCACGAAACTATTGTGGAATAAAATAAACAAGAAGCAGAGCAGCAGCAGAATCATGGTTCACAGTCTTCTGGAAGCACTGAACGTGCGGGTTGTGGGCTCAGGGGAGAAAATTCTGGTATTAGCCCATGGATTCGGGACTGATCAGTCTGCTTGGCAGAGGATTCTGCCCTTTTTCTTGAGGGATTATCGGGTCATCCTGTACGACCTGGTTTGTGCCGGAAGTGTCAACCCGGATTACTTCGATTTCCGGCGGTACACCACCCTGGATGCCTACGTTGATGATCTGCTCCATATCCTTGATGCCCTCGGGGTTGATCGGTGCGCTTATGTGGGCCACTCTGTTTCCGCCATGATTGGGATTTTGGCTGCAATTCGCCGCCCTGAACTGTTCACCAAGCTCATTCTTATTGGTGCTTCTCCAAGGTAATTTCAATTATAGTACAAAAAAGGGATATAATTGACTTTGCGTCTGGTTCTGAAAATGCTCTGTTTTTCGGGTTTTTGCCCTTACTAAAATGGCACTCATTAGTACTGAATTAGACTAGCCCAGAATTGGGATGAAATTTCTCCCCATTTCAGTTTTGCTTCAGTTTCCAATAAAGTGAAAGTACCCAAAAAAAAAGTTTGAAACTTGAATTCAATTGGCTGGGGAATGAACGAGTGAAAAGGGATGTGAAAATGGTAATGATGAATCTGCGACTTTTGCAAGTGCTTAGTGCTTTGGACTAAAATTCTGCCATGTGTAGATAGCAATATGGAGGTTCTATAATAATATTGTCGTCCAATTTTATTCCCATCTTTTTTCCTTTTCAAACATTTCACTTTGTTATTAGGTTCCTGAATGATCAAGACTATCATGGCGGTTTTGAGCAAGCAGAAATTGAGAAAGTATTCTCAGCAATGGAAGCCAATTACGAAGCTTGGGTCAAAGGGTTTGCTCCGTTGGCCGTGGGAGCCGACGTTCCGGCGGCTGTCCGGGAATTCAGCCGGACTCTGTTCAACATGAGGCCGGACATATCCCTTTTCGTGTCAAGACAAGTTTTCAACAGTGACTTAAGAGGCGTCCTCGGACTAGTTAAAGTCCCATGTTGTATAATCCAAACCGCAAAGGATGTCTCGGTTCCGACATCGGTGGCGACTTACTTGAAGAACCACCTCGGTGGTCGGAGCACCGTCCAGATGCTGAACATAGAAGGCCATCTTCCCCACCTAAGTGCCCCAGCCTTATTGGCTCACGAACTCCGGCGAGCTTTATCTCGGTGATTTGGATAAGGTGGCCCCGCCGGGTGTCGCCGCCGTGGGCTAGGCTAAGTCCCCCCACTTCTCAGGCGGTGGGGCTTTTTAAGTGAATAATAATAAGTGGACTGGATCAGGTGTGGGTGACACTTGGCAAATAATTGTGGACATGAGTGATTTGTGTAATTTCCGAATTTTCCTTTTTTTTTTTTTGGTAATTGGGGGTATATTCATGGTTTTGTAATTTTGTTTTTGATTTTCTTTCTTATCCTTCTAGATTCTGACTAAAAATTTGAGAAGGAAAGGAAGTGGGGAAAGGAGGATAAGAAATCGCCACATGGAATTCACGTGACTGACGTGCTTGTTTTTAGTTTGTCGTTGGCTTTTATTTTGGTGCTTTCTATGATTTAATCCAACAACTCTCTAACGTTTTCTTGTTTTTTTCTTGCAAAATTGTTTGGTACCGCCCAAAAAAATGATTATAATTATTGGTACGATATGGTATTACGGATTGCATGTTACTCAAAGTATTGCGTATATTACTTTCTTTTTGCCATATTTGTAATGCAACCTTTAATTATTGTCCAGTGCTACAAATTACACAAATACAATCCTGTTATGTCACTGGAAGGGACAAGTTCTCTCTTCAACTTTTGAGGTAATGTCATTTAGACGGAAAAAATAGCGGATCTACCCAAAATTTTACATGTTTCGTGAATTCTATCATATTCTTTAACGTTTAGTCAATAGTACCCTAAACTATCCAACCGTTAGCCGATTTTGTCCAATTTGCTATTTTCCGTCTAAATTAACGGAATTCTATTTGTTTTAATTATAAAAACACCCTAATAGTTTTAAAAATTTATAAAAATGACCCCAAAAATTTACAAAAATGATTAAATAGTCTATTTTCAGTTTTTATTTAAATTTTTTTGTTTTTTATTTCTTTTTACTATTTTTCATAACTATAAAAATATACTATATGATCTTTAAAAAAATATTTATTTTTAAACTTTAATGTACAAATTTTTAATTATATATTTGTATGTCATGTTTAATTTACATAAGCATATTAATGTTTTAATAATATGGTTTTACAATAATGATACTATTTTTTATCCCTTTTTTTCAATATAAAGAATAAGATTATTTAACTAATACTAATTTTTCCCAAAAAAATTAAACAATTCGCATAGATTAAAAAAAGAATCTATTGGTATACTTTAATGTATTACAATTTAATTCAACTGACTTTAGATTGTATTTTAAAATTTAAAAAGAAATCAAAACTAAAATATAATTTTTTTTAAAAGGCCAAGTACAGACAGAAAGTAAAAAAAAAAAAACACCTATTTCGTTTCTACGTTTGCCCAACACAAGAATATAGTATCGTGGTATTCACAAAAATGGTACAAAATATTTTATAAAAAATATGTATATTTATTACTGTGAGGATTTAACATTTTGTGATAATGTTTTGAGAATTAATATATCTAACTTTAGCGGAAAGTCTTTTTTTTTAAAAAAAAATAATAAGAAAAAAAAATCTACTCCGGTACTGGACTCCACCTTTTTTTTACATTAAAAAAATTAGATTTCTCCAGTGAGAATCGAACCTCGGACACAGTTTTAATCATCTCATATTTTAAATCACCTAACCATCCAATGCAACCCTCTTACCTTTAGTGGATCCCGCTAAAACGTGGGTAAAATCAGTCTCTCGGTTAGAAATACTTTGGTGACAATTAATCTTATATCTACTCTCATGAAACTTAACACCCTAAACACTAGACAGTACTCTATATTTTAATTTAATAATTTTTTAATTGGATAATACAATCTATAGTCTGTTTAGTTAATTTGCAATAAATTAAAATGTACTAATATATATTTTTAATCTATGCTAAATGTTTTTATTTTTTTGTAAAAAATTAGTTTTAGTCAAAAAAAATCTTATTCTTTAAATTGAAAAGGACGGGTTAAAAGAATAATATCATTATTGTCTAACCATATTATTAAAAAAATTAATATGTTTACGTAAATCAATCATGAGTTACAAAATGTATATCTATAAATTTGTACTGTAGTGTTTAAAAATAAATTTTTATTTTAAAGATCATATAGTATATTTTTATGGATATGAAAAATAGTAAAAAGAAATAAAAAAAAGAAAAAATTAAATAAAAACTGAAAAGAGACTATTTTGTAATTTTTGTAAATTTTTGGGGTTTTTTTATAAATTTTGAAAACTATTAGGGTATTTTTGTAATTAAAACAAATAAAATTCCGTTAATTTAGACGAAAAATAGCAAATTAGACAAAATCGGCTAACGGTTGGATAGTTTAGGGTAATATTGGCTAACCAAAAAAAATAGGGTAAAATTAACGACGCATGTAAAGTTTTGGGTAGATCCGCCAATTTTTCCTTATTTAGACGGAACTCATAATTCAAATTCTAATGACAGTAGTTGAAATAATTGTTATTCGCAAGTTTCAATTATTGATGAAAGTTTAATTTAATATTTGTTCATCAAATTCATAGACAATAAATTTAGTTTCCTCATTCTGTCCAAAAAATAGTCTACTCTGCTTTACTTTTAACTAGTACTACCTTCGTCCCACAAAAATAGTCCACATTGAGTTTTCAAATCTGTACTAAAAACAGTGCAAAACTCAAAACTCAATGTGGACTATTTTTGTGGGACTGGGGGAGTAATATTGATGAATCTCTGTAAGGCGAAACAAAGTACTCCCTCCGGCCCTTATTATAAGACATTTTGATTTTGTCATAAGTTTAACCTCAGATGTTTTTTTAATTGGAAAAAAAATCTTAAAAATATTTTTTTCACATTTTTTGTGTTCTCCTAATCTGTACATAAGTAAATGTCTCTTAGTAAATTTAGAATCTTGAACGTGATTGGTCAGAAATAAAATTGAGCAATCTCATTGGCCTATTATTTCACATGATATCTCCAATTTTAATTGAGCCCTCTCATTGGCCTATTAGTTCAATGACATCATCAATTGAGCCCTTTGATTAGTTATTAATATATTAATATGACATCAGCAGTTAAAAATAGGACTATAATGATCAATTAATAAAGTTAATTTTCTATTTTAGCAGAACAAATATTAGCCAAGAGAATGGTAACCTGGGGTCATTATGTCATCCGAAGTTTGAAACAAAGTTTGTGGCGGGCTAACGACGACGTTTACTTCCCGGCGTTGCAATTGATGGTGGCGATGCAAGAAAATTTTTGACAAATTCTGGCTGCCCCAAATCTTTCTCCCCTATTACCCCTTTCCTCAATTTTCGCCCAAATCTTTCACCCCGCCTTTATTCCCCATTATCCGTTCTTTCCCCTTCAATTCTGAAATAAAATCAAAAGCAATATAACCCAAACAAATTAATTTCTGATTCGTATTTATGTTTTTTTCCCTTTAGTTGTGGTTATTGATTTTTCGTTTTCTTAGGATAGGGCGGTAGATTATGGAGTGCCTAAGATTATGCTTACCATCAAGGCTGGGGCAACTTCTTTCAGTCGAAGGAGTTCGATTCTTTTGTGGAGCTGTATTTTTTTTCTTTTTTTTTTTCTTGTTAATAAACAGGAATCCTTTGTGAGATTGACTCTTAATTTGCTTTTTTTATTTTTGACATATTCATCTCAATGAATTGATTGAATTTGTGGCTTTGAAGTTGTAAATCGGTTTGAACTTGGAAAATAGAAAAACTATGGTGGCATGATTTGCGTTCATAAATTGTTTAACGTTGGTGTTAGGGCGCTTCTTTCTGCTGTTATTAAATGGAAATGAATAAAAAAGAAAAAATTTCGGACTCTCCTATGTCAAATTAAGATCTCTACAAATTTATTTTGTCTTGAGAGCACCAGTGAAGTTTAGCTATTAAGAAAATGGAGTTTTATATCAATTTTTGTTGAGATCAAGGTTTTTCTTGTTCTGATTTTCTGTAATGGGTTTGTTTACTCTTTTCACTTTGTTACATTTATTTAATGGATAATTTTGACAAAATGGTTTGAGTATGAACTCTTTGCATCTTTATGTTCTAGGGGAATAAATGATCATGGGTCCAGATGGAAAAAAAAAAAAAAAAAAACCATGCACACTACTGTATAATATTGTTGATGAACTTATTTGCTTGCCGCATTAGAACATATAATTCCAAACCAAATCTTTAACTGACTCAACTACTAAACTGGTCGCGTAAGAAATGAGTAAACAGATGTGAGAATTTAAATTAGTGAAGAGCTGCACACTATTGTACTTCTATTCTCTTGATGAACTTAGAATCTTGAATATGATTGGTTAGAATTTATATTGAGCAATTTGATTGGCCCATCAACACAAAAGACATGAGCAATTTTCAATTCATACATTTGATTGGTCTATAGATTTCTTAAGCGAGGGTATTTATGTGATTATGATTATTCATAATTGTTAATTTATAAATCAGATTTTTAATTTTTTTTGCCACCCGGGAGTCAGAGGCGACGACGTTTTATGCCAGGACCACACCTTTTTTCCAACGGGCTCGTTCCAGGGATTTTATTTTATTTTATTATTATTATTTTTTTTTTTTGGCACCATCGATTATTTGACAGATTCAATTGAATTGGTAAGTGGACTTGGAATTGTTTGGATTCTTCTTTAGGAAAAGGGAAGCGTCACAAAATAAACGGTGACTTGCGGCAAGTTCATGAAAGGAACAACAATAAAGCTTAAAAATTCAGATTTTCGCCGCTTACTGGATGGATATCCCGGTATTTGGAGTCGTTCGGGTTTCAAGGTACCTGCCCCAACTTCAAACACGTTGTCAACGATTGTTTCGATCATTGAAGGTACATGCATAGCCATTTACCCGGAGAGGGAACATGTATGAAGTTGGAGGTTTCTACTATGCACCGAAAGCAATTAGCTTCTCATGTCCGTGGTGAATACTATTGACTATGTTGGAAAAACGATATTAAATAAGTGTTCAATAAATAGTTTTTAATTGACTTACTTTTATAGTAGCTTCTGACTCTTGGGAGCTTGAATTAATTGACTTGGATTGGGCATTACTTTGAAATGAAATCTTTAGTAGAGCATATTGCTCTGATTGCCATGCTTTCTTTTGGTTAAATTGATGTTAGGGATTAACGTGGTTTGAATCAGTAACAAGAGTTGGGATGTTTTTGAGGTTAGGAATTATTTTTGTTTAAGGGAACTAAATGAATAACCTTCCAATAAAATTTGAGATTAGCTATCGATTTCGATATAAGAAGTAGATTAAAGGTTGTAAGGTGCATTAATCGATTTATTTGTGTAGAGCCAAGTACTTGTCAATCCGAATTTGAACATATTTTCATTTATCATACATTGTTTTCACTATTAATGTGGTACCAACTTTGGCCATTTGAATTGGAATTGGTTTGTAGTTTTTCTGGAGTAGTTTCTGTATTGATCATATTTCATTTGTTTGGTTTGCTTTGGTGATGCTTTGATCAGAATAGAATGCTGCTC